CTCTCTCTCTCTCTCTGCAGTCAGATCCCCACCTACAGTAATAGAGACATAAAGGACAGAAGTAGCAGATGGGGTTCCCGAGGACAAAGTCTGCAGGGAAGCCATTTGATGTGGGGGGAGAAAGAAAAAAAATCGACCCCAGTTTTGTTTCATTTGATCTCGCACTACCCGCAATAGAAGTAAGCAGTAAAGGAACAGACATATATGTGAGCACAAGGACACATTTCTGTTTTTTATTTTTTGATGCTGAACCTGAAAAAAGTTTTTATTTTATTTGTCTATTCTTTTTTTCTGTATATATGATTTTTTTATTTTATTTTCAAATATTAATTAAATAAGAAAACTCCCATCCTCCCCAAAGTGCAGTTTTCTGTTCAGGTTTATGCTTTACATGTTGTTTCCATTTGGCTGAATTATAACCTAAAACATTTTTTTTTTCAAGAGGTAACTTTGGTAAATTTGCACAAACTGATAAATACAGAAGGAAATGTTTGAACCACGGTGAATACACATTCCAGGGACGGCTAATGCTGGACCGCTCATGGAGTCATGTCAGGTGAGCGTGCTGGCAGGAGACCAACATATAAAGCTTTAAGTTACAAAAATGAAGCACAGGGCTGGATTTGAAACGGTTTACAGTGTCAGTTTCGTGATGTAACTAAAGATTAGATATCCTGTGAAACCCGAAGATTAAATTGAGAAACATTTATGATCAAATGTTAAATATATAAAAAAGAAAACACAAAATGTTTATTTGAGGCTACACAGAGGCCATTACCACAGTACATATAAAACAAAGTAACCAAGAAACTATTTCCATATTTGTGTAGCAGCGTTTATTTTTTATTTTTTTTAGTCCGGTTTCTCAGAAGCAACAGTTGCTGAGAACTGGTAGTCATATATGAATTTGATTAGTCATCCACTATAAATATTACTAAATGAAAGTGAACAGAATGAGAATCATAACTGTCAACCTGCCATTTCCAGACGCTGTGTACAGCAGGAGGATAATTGCCCATCATTAGCTAGAGGTTGTACACTTCAGTCCCATTAGATCTTATTTCTGCAGACAAAAATTATAAAATGTCAGTTTTCTTTTGAGTGTCCAGACAAAAGAAAGAAAAAAATGTCCAAGAGACAGACACAGACAGATAGAATGAGGGGAATAAGACAGAGAGAGGTGGTGGTCGGAGAGGGTGGTGGGGGGGAGGGTTTGCATTAGAGAGAAATTGTGTGTGAGAGAGAGTTCAGTGGCCTTCTGCAGGCTGGTGTGTCTGAGATTCGGTTGGACTCTGATCTTGAGGTTTATTTAAGCTGAATTCCGTGGGCTCATCAGGACCGGGTTACAAAAATCCTCCTATAGAACTAGAAAGAATGTGCAGCGCATACAGTTCTGCATAAGGCACAAAGGCATGTCTTTAGAGGTGGGGGCAGGCATCAAAAGACAGGCAGAGGAGGGATTTCTTTAGAGGCTGGGGGCAAAGAAGGTATTTCGGAGCTCCATTCAATGCCAGGGAGAGGAGGGGAGGTGTACAGTTTTGTGGTAAAGAGTGCATTTCCAGGGGATGTTAGGAACTTAAAATGTGTGCCGTAAACCCCCCACACCTCTGCTATTATTGGAAGTTACTTAGCTCCAGTTGTTCTCCTCTGAACCCTAGGGGCTACAATTACTTTTTATCTCTGCATTTTAGTTTTTGGTGAATAAATAACAAAAATTGCCAAACACTTTTAAGTCCTTATTTAGCATTTATAAGGAGAATATAAACCTTTTAATAAATGGTTTATGATGATAATGTAATTGTTAACAGATAAAAGTGTGTTTATGTATTTGTCTGGTGTATAAACAGATAATGAATGAAAAAAAACGTAAAATATGACAAATACTGAACATTAATTAACACTTACAAATGTCCTTATATCTGCTACAACTACATTATGTTGTGTTATGATTGCTATACACATTTTTATGATAAATATCTGCATTGCTTTTCATCTCCGCTTATGTGATCATGTTATGGGAATATAAATGTTTTCTGCTTATTCTGTTTAAAATTATAAAAGGAATTTCAAGCTGTAACAAATGACTGTGCTGTCCTTGCATTTTCTCCATGAATGAGTCTTCTTAATGATATAGTAATGTTGTAACTTGTACAATAAAATCTGATTAAACTTTGATGTATTATTAACATTTTTTTAATGTAAAACAACATCTGACTTGTATACGGTAAGTGAATAATAATTGATCAGTCCTTGTTGGATGGCTGTTATGTGTGTCTAAGCCATCTCCATGACCTTCTTGATCCAGTCCACATAGACGGACACACGGATGAAGATGTTAGGCTGCCCTGGGTGTCCGCAGCGCCTCATGGGAATGATCACTCCCTCGAGTACCCAGCAGTCCCTGTTCTGACACACCAGAGGGCCGCCGTAGTCTCTCTGCAGACACACAGGAACAACACTCTGGAGTCATTATTTGTCTCTGTTATGACTGACTGTCACTGCTGAGGTTGGAAACATCTTGCAGTCACATCTTGTCCAGTCCGACTCCATTATCCAAATGGTGAATGTGTTTGATTTATAGGAACGTATAAATAGCTGTATGCTCTTTACTTAAAGTGATTTCCATCATCAAAAGATTTTCTTCTCCATCAGAATTCGAAGAGTTAATTCTAAGCACAGCAGGGGAATGCGCTTATTCGCTTTCTTGCAGAGAGTTAGATGAAAAGATTGATACCACTCTCATGTCTGTATGCTAAATATAAGCTACAGCCAGCAGCCAGTTAGCTTAGCTTAGCAAAAAAAAAAAAACTGGAAACAGAAAGAAACAGGTAGTTTGGCTCTGTCCAAAGGAAATAAAAACACACCTATCAGTGGTTTTATGGCAGGACGGTGGGTGGTCTCATCAAACTCTTATATTGAACCTTTAATGCCATTGCACACTTCAATAAACGTCAAAGAAAATGGTCAGTGTTGGGCTGTCGTGGGGATCTAGAGGTTACCACGCACACCACATTGTCCCTGGTTTGAGTCTGGCTGGTGATTTTGTGTAGTCATACACGTCTCAGTAGCTCTCTGTTTCCTTAAAGGAAACTTAAAGGAAAAATGCAAAAAAATAC